GGCCCATGGGCGGCAAGTAGGTGAATCCAGCCCTGATGAGGACTCAAGATTCTGTGATGCAAAAATTACAGAGATCTGATATTTTGAGAAACATGATAATCTACGTGATCCATATAGTGATAGTACATTCCATGGTTTCCTATGTTAACTTTTATCGGTTAATGTGCACCATCAATGTAATTCTTGTGTAATTATCACATTATATTTTAAGGAAGAAGATATCAATGCAAAGGAAACAACGTTTGGCGTTATCATAGTGGCTGTTATTTATCATCATGTTATCTTCAAAAGGGAATTTTTCCCGTAGCAATGATCGCCGGGGCTTGATTTTATTGTTTCTGTGCCGTCCATATGAAATTCAACTATTGAAATTAAAATTTTTAATACTCCAGCTCAATCCTAGCTTAATTTTTGCAATAGGAGCAAAATAGTTTGCAATTCTTAACATACCAGAATTGAGAAAGATTTTTCTCAAAAACGCTCGGTTTATCCACCCATTCGATAATGATGAAAATTTCACACAAAAGGCAGGAAACTAAATCCATGAATACCAAAAAAGTAGACTTAGAACCACTGAAACTATTTGAGCTTTGTCACTCTAATTATAATTTTGGATACTTTTGCCGTTGATTTCCCTTTAAAATAACGTGGGTGTAGCACCACTCTATCATCATGAAAGTACAAGTAAAGCGTAATTGGGGGGCATAGTGCTCCATGACTCGATATATTTTTTTACCGTTCGGGGAATATAAATTCCGGCAAGTCAATGTTCGAAAGTAAGAGCGGCCTGCTTTTTCTTTACTTTCCGATCCAGATGAGTCTTCATTTTCGGAAGATGGAATTAGCCTACTGAAGAGGACTAATCCTTGTTATTGCTCTAATTGCCCGCATCATTTTCCAATCAATCACTGCGAGACAACAGGCCACCGTCGCGTCGCTGCTCGCGCTTGAAAATAGGAAAATCACCCGCATCCTCCAGTTTACTACGCGCATCATTGGTGCCTTGAGTCAGATTTTGCATCAACACCGACGACGTATATTTACTGGATCTAATAGTCAAATCATCAAAAATTCTACCAAATGCGTATAAGGTCAAATTTTGAGGACCGATCGAGTTTGGCATGTTCGCGGTCGTGCGGATTTATTTTCTGTACTCGTAATTCGAATTTTTTAATGAAAAAAAATTGATAAACATATCAGTATTTCTTTAATTTAACAAATCAATATTTTTCAAGGAATTTCTTACCGTCGAACCTTAAAATAATGCGTTTATCTGAAATGTCGATCAACTTTGGGCGAAATTTTTACTCAGTGGTAAACATTCATACAACAATAACGAATACCTAAATCTAACATGTCACACAGCACGAAAAGAAAAGGTAGATGCTGTTGAAAGATATGGACATTTCGACGGTGTAAGTCGGCAATCACATAACTCGGTTTGCGACGTCGCAGACCTCCTATCATACTTAAAATTTTAAACAGAATATTACTTAACAGCAACTCTTTAAAACTGCCGTGATTTTTCTTCTCTGTGCGAAGAAAATTCTCCAAAAACTTCGATTGATTGAGGATCGTAGAGCCTAGCATAGCAAGTGATCCCTCATTCCGTTTTAATTGACGCGGATAGCAAAAAAATCTCATCCATGCATTCCAAACAAAGAGATTGAGATTATGATGTGCACGAATGATCCGTATTGGACTTTGATTGGTCATTATTAGTCCTGATTCCATGATCCCGCTATGCAACCATAGGCTACTTAAGCGCGGTGTTCCTATTCTAAACACTTGGCCTGAGTTAACCCCTGCGTTGTCCTCAGCTAAGTACCTCTTGGGCTGTTCCATCATTTCCTTATCTCTTTGGATCTAGCCATTACGCAAGATGGGCAATTTTCTCGACCCTGGTGGGCCAGCCCTGACAGCGGTATCGAAAGAGCTGACCTGAACGATGGGAGGCACTTACTACGTAATTTGCCTACTGCAAGTAGAGATCAGCCGGACACGGGGAGGCGTATGGAATGTACAGGAAGGAATAATTGCCAGTGTTTAATGAATAAATTTGAGCAAAAGCTCGATTAACGGCCATCTAAGCTCATCTCTACCCCTGTTGTCAAGTTGCCAGAACTAAAATTTAGCACTGGAAGCTCGTTGAGAAGTGCGAAACCTTCATTTTCACAATTAATCGCCGAGGTGTGCCAAAAAATGATTACCTCAACTTTCCACAATTCACTGGAGACCAAAAAGAGCCCCTTTTTTGAAAAAACTGATCATGAAGACCGAAAACGGACTCCACACCGTTCCGAAAATCCTAGATCGGATTTTCTGCTATCGGTCAGTCAGATTTCTTTTGACGTGTCTTTGAAATTACCCTCGATTATTCTTTTTTCAAAGATAACATTTTCTGTATCATCCGTCAAGAAACTGAAAGCCACGGCCTTTCAAAATTCATTGGTGGGTCATAGCAACAGGGCTTGCTCTAAACCCATGTAAATCGCGAGGAGCCAATCTTTAGTGACTTCTGTCAGTTACAGAGCTCATCTGAGCTTCTGGCTGGCTATAACTATTTTTTCTGCGAGACGATTGTTAAACTTGATAGACAAAGCTACAGAAGAGGAGAACAAAAGGGATGTGGAAGGATCTTATTGGTGGAAACAGGTGATAATTGCAATGGACAAATGTAGGTAATAGGCTACAAATGGCAACCCACGATAGAACTTACAGTTAGTCCATCATTTTCTCCCTTATCCTAGGAACCACACATTTCAACCAGTAGGATCCCTTCATACTCACTATGTCTTCTTTGTCTATAGCTTTGTCTATCAATTTCAAAAATCAGCCCGCTGGCATCGAGGCCACTTTTCCGAGGGCGCTTTGGAAGTGGGACCAAGAGGAGAGTCTTCTCTCAACGATCCAAAGGGAACTTCTCATTTTTGCTGCAACTTTTAAATCGGCATAGGCCCAATCTACTTTATGAAAAATCACCCTATGTGGCATCAACGTTTACTTGTCTTTGCAATCAGGAGACGGAAGCAATCTCAAAGAGGAGTCCTCTACGTCGCGTTCCTTACGGAATGATTTTCAGCGCTAGATTTAGAGGCAGCGCGGGGTAAGTTTTTTTCAATCATACTCCTTTTTTTTATGCGCTTTTTTCCGCGGCAGTCAAATTAACCGCTTTATCGCTTCATTTGATCGCCATCATTCTCTTGGCAGGGGAGTGGTAGCATACTGTTGCCACTTCGACAGCATGATTTTTCCATTCACCTAATTGAGAATTAGGCGAATTTTTACCAGGAAATTGACAACGATGATTGAAAATAGCGATGTCAATGTATTATGAACCCATATAATTATTGGCTCATTTGGAGAGGGTGAGGGCGGTTTTTGGTGAAAATTATAGTCCCCGATCAAAAGAGAAGTCAGTAAGAGGTGGTTTTCTCTAGTATAAATTGGTCAGTGATTGATGATGTGTTATCATTTTGAAGAGATGATTTTTCTCTGTGATCGAGTGTTAACAAAGCAAATTTTCCAGAGAAATTGGCATCGCTGATCAGAAGCAGTATGACCATTTTTGTACGACCACATGAGTACTTTTATAAAAATCTATTCCTATTATGGCAAAGTGCATGTATAAATAAGAAGAAGAAAAAATGAGAACCTCGGAATTTCAGATACAAATGGAACTTTTAACGCTCCTTAAGTATTCTCAGATGAAGCAATAAAAGTTTAGTGTGTGAATTCTCCATTCTCACGATCAAGAAGCGAATTTTAGACATGTTCCGAACATCTTTGGGAAGTTCTGTCCCGGTTTCTCTCATCAATCACCAACAGTGGTGGACACCATTGTTACCAGATTCGACCAATCAGATCCGTTGTTTTTCGATAGGTCGAACCTGTTTTAGAATCACCTCGTGAGGTGGTACCAAAATCACGCACCAATTTTGCGATTCGTTAGTCACCGAATCGGAAGTTCCGAACTCAAATAGAATGGCAGCTCGGAAGTTCGAGCGCAAAAGTATTACCGATCCTCTAAATAAAATTAGCTTACGGTGGTTCCACTCTTCATTTTTTTAACATATTTTCCTGCTTTTACGGGACCGACGTTGGTCTCGGCGAAGAAGGGAGCTCTCGCCATTGACGCTCCACTTTTTCCAAAAGGGTGTGGCGACGGACGGAGAAAGCGGAAGAAAGGGAGACCGAAGTCGTGGCCCGTGCCCGAGGGGGGCGAATTCACTCGGGTCCCGTTACATTGCGTGGAATCGAAATTCGGACCGTCGTCATCTCGTTGGCCACACCTCCCTCATCCTCAAAAATCTGCATACGGACCGATACACTGTACCAGCTGTAGCCTCACTGTAGCATTCTACAATGAAGCAGCTTTGATCTTACAATTAAGTTCAGATATCCTCTTGACTCCAAAGAATGGCTGCAGTCATAGCCGTTCCGTCATCATTCTTCAATAAACTTTAGGAAGACTTGTATATGTCGCAGGAAATTAGTCAAATCAGGTATTTTGTCAAATGCCTAGGCAAAGAGTCAAATAATCTTACTTGGATTGAAATTCTGATTCTTTTGCTCTTTTTAGACAAAATAATTATTCTCTCAAGTTGATAAGGACTTTTTGTAAAAATTGGCATCATACAATTGTAAATAAATTCAATTTAGTCCTTAAACGAGCTTTCATGTCGGGATTTTCAGCAGGTCATATAATACCGACTTTTTAAAACTCTGAAAGTTAAAATATATGAGGAGGATTTGGAGGGTAAAATACAAGATAAGTTGGTAGTTTTGATGAATTATTACTTTCAAAACAATGGAAACTTACTAGTTCCTCGTCAAAAACATACAAGTTATTGTAAACCATCAAAATTTGCCTAGAAAAATCTGCCTAGGCATTTGGTGAAATGCCTGATTTGACTATTTGTCTGCGGTATACAGTTTGCATTAAGCTACTGAGGCAAGCTGCAAGCTAATTTGTGATGAATTTGTAAGTTAATACTTACAATAGCAGAAATCAATGTTTGAAGATAATGAAATCCTTACCTGCAACAAACAAAATTATATATTTAAAAATAAGAGGTATAAGTAAATAAACACATGAAATGAGTCTGTCAATTAATCGCGCCTACGTCATAAAACTTTACTTTCAGCTTCCAAGTTACCGGTTTTATTATACGGATGAAACTGCCGCTGCGGTAAATTAGCCTCTGGCAGAAAGAGGGTGAGGATTTTAGACCACGATCTAGATCCGTGTTGGAAAAATCTTATTCTTTATTTGTAGGTCTACATGCTGCAGTTAAATATTATTTTTTTAATCAGTACAAAATGCTTCCTCCTGAGGTGTGAAAGTTGAAGCTGGGAGCATTTTGACTAATAGGCGCACTATCGATTAAAAGGAAATTAAAAATTTGAGGCACATAAACTCGCATCTACAAAGGCCTTATATATTATATAGGCCTTTTTATCCTGGGAAGTGATTGTGAGATTGACTTAAAAGAATCTGTCCCTCTAGATGAAGTCGATCTAAATAATGTCAAAATAGGTGATTCTCCTGAATGAATATTGCGTCATTGATGACACTTCTTTGCCCTGACAACTTTTTATTCCCTATAAATGCACTGAAAAAAAGCTACGGGCCATGTAGACATACTGTCCCTTCCGGGTCCGAAGGCTGAAAGTTCTGGGTGCTGGAGCCGTTGTTGTAACTGCTTCGGGTACTACGCCCGGAACTTTCGGCCTCTAGGCCCGGAACGCGGACTACAAATCGTAAATACGGGTTCCATGGCCGGAATTTTATTCAGAGTGATCGGAACCGAAACATTCAATGGGCCAGTCACATACGTCGCTTCTTGCAGTATTTATGGCGATCGGAATCAAATGAATCCATCTCCGACACAACTTAATTAGCAGGAAACCGATAAAATTCAATCGGAATTATCGAATAATTGGCGAAGTTCAAAATATGAGGCGGAATGGAGGCCGCATGGCTGCGATTGTGACAGTGACATGATTTTTATTAGACACTAATTTTATGAGCGCCGGCACACTGCGCTCTGCCGCGTGCAGGTGACTCGGGCGGCGCGCCGCGCGGCGTGGCTCCACGCTCGCCTCGCCCGGGATTGCCCCATCGACCAGGAAATCCTTGATTTTACTCATACATTCAATGGAATTTAATAGAAATTAGACAGCAGCAGTGCCAATTCTTTGTTGCTGCGCGTGCCGTCTCTCATTGTTCATTGATGAGCGTACGTGATCTGCCGCACTTCGATTTCCTCGCGAGAGAGAATCTAAGGCTCATAAAATGATATTTATTTATATTTATCCTCAATGTACATACATGCAAGTATACGGAGCCTTTTAGGTGCTTATTGCGATTACGGAGCTGAAGGAGTAGACCGCCAAATATACCTCCCGGATATCCAAAAAATGGCGCCACCGCGCGGTAGATCGAGTCAATGGCAGAGGTCGGACGTGATTTAAAAACTTTGAAAGCGCACATCTTCATGAATATGATTTTGACGTTTTAAAAGTAGTTTCATCGGTTTTCTCGTAAAATTTTCTATCAAAAGCACCCCTTAGAATTAAAATTGTGACGAGATAAACGTAAAATTTTAAATTGTATGCCCGACTTTTTCCAAAGACTCGTTCAACTGTGTACCGATACAAAAGTTTCAATGATTTATAGCTAGATATTTTAACTGTTTGGTATTGTTCAAACATGTTTTAATTTTACAGCCTTTTCCCCCATAATGAGGTAGTATGACCTAAAATAAGCACTGATCTGTTAATATTATTTAGTATGCAGCCTTTTTTTCGTTTTTATTCTTTTTATTTATTTTTACGTGATGATTAAGCTCATGAAAATTTACAGTTTACTTTTGCGTGCAGGGTCCTCATGGCAGGGTGTGTAAACCACGGTCATGGATCCATATGTTGATATTTCTTTTTTTATTTAACTATTATGAAATTGAAGTTTGTCGGGTTAAAAGATAAGTATCAATCACCGAAAAGACATTTTTGAGCAAAAAACTCTTTAACTCGAATGTACAGAATATAAGGATCTGTTAGAAACTTATTTAAATTTTACTCATTCCTAAAAAAAAGAGTTGAATATTTTATTTTGGAACATTCTTGCGTCCTTCACTAAAAAATGGGCGTTCGACTATTGTACCCATAACGTTCATTTAATTCATAGCACTGCAAAAGAAATAGAGGTGTGAGTAAATTTTCTAATAAGCTCTCAGACCCAAAGAATGGTCATTTGAAGGTCATTAAGTATATTTAGGTTTAAAATTGAAACCATTTATTTGTTTTTGTTCAAAAAAGTAAATTGCAGTAAGTTCAATGAGCTATTCAATTATTCCAATGTATTAATAGTGAGCCATTTACTCTACCTGTTACTGTAGAATTTTAAGCATGATTCATATATTGAAATTGGCTTCACTAAAGAAAATAGGATCAGTTGATACGTCTCCTAAGATTTGTCGTATTGAATGGGCAAATTATTTTCATACGATTTCATTATAAAGTGCCTAGTACCAGGAACTGAAATTGAATATTTCTCTATTAAAACAAAAAAATTACCTTATAAAAATCTATTATACCGTTTGAAATTTACAGTAAAACTACTATCGTTCCAAATTTCAGTAGTTTTAAATAATTAGTTTGTCTCGCAATAAGCTCATTTTACTGCAAATAGATTCGTTTGAAAATAGTCTGAATGTCCTCTATTGCCCTGAGATTTTCTCAAAAAAGAAACGAAATATTTGACGGAAAGACTCAAACTGCAACTCGGAGTAGAATTTTATAAAATTAAAATATTTTTCCGTGATTGCTCTCGGCATATTTTATGGCACGTATTTATATTCCGAATAATTAGAAATTGTACACTCTTATCCAACAATAAGAATTTCCACGCAATTATTCAACAAAAGGAAGAGAATAGATTGAAACACATTTTACTAACAGAAATTCATTGGTGACTGCGATACTAAGATAAGATATTTCCATAGAATGATCTTCATCTGCTCCAATCAGGAAGGTAACCTATAATGTTCTGTTCAATGTCATTGATGACCAAATCTCCTACATTTTCATTCATGCACCGATATCGTCAGTAGTGACTAACGTAGTTTTTATTGCCAGCACGTTAGCAAGGGCTTGACTGGATCCAGCAAGAGCTCTAAAAACAAAGATCACACAAGCTGTACTCACATAAATAAAATAGTCCAAGAGAACCAGGAATCGAACCTTGGCCAGCTGGCGACACTACCGCTCGCTAGTGGTCATATTCGCAAACGAACGTCATCTATAAAAAGTCAAAAATTTTCACTTCGCAGGATTATTGTTATCGAAAACGGAACATTTCATCGCGTGCACGAGACTGGCGCTATTTTCGGTCGGATCTGGCGGGCAAAGCGATTTCAGTTGCAATGCAGCGCGGATTACTGGCATTTCCCCAAAATTTTCAGGTGTGACTTTCGGAGGTTTGGCTACTGTGCACCATGTCCCCTCCTCGGGGAGCGAACGCAAAATGCGTCTAAAAATAGGGCTAATCTTCGTGCATGTGAGTGCATTGTTTCGTTTCCTATTTTGATATATTTATACAGGGATGCCAATCATAATGGTGTCGTTAGTGCACCGTTGCTTATAGATCAGTGTTCGAAACTCGCCTTTGAGATTCAGGAGCCATGTGGCCCATCAGGCTCGATTTTTAGGGGCCATTGAAGATTTTTTAGGGGCCAAATTGACTTTTTGCCCATATATCCCGGCGCATTTAGTGAAGGGTTAGATGCAAGATGTTTTAGTTAAAGAACTTGCCGGCTGTAACCTGTAACTATAGAAAAATCTCCTAAAAGAAAAACTAAGATTTTTTGGGGGAGGGGGGGGGGCAATTTTTAGGGGCCACGTAAGCGCAAAGCCCCCATTTTTTAGGTTCCACGGCCGATTTCTTAGGCGCATTTAGCGCATTGGCGCCTGTGAGTTTCGAATACTGTTATAGATTAAGTTGTCTTTAAGACATTTTTGAAGGTCTTGTCGTAGAAATAGATTTCATCCGTCGCCTAGTCTCTAAAATTTTTTTAAACCAATGATATCTGCTTTTTAAGAAAGATAATACGGTAGCGAATTTTGGTAAGATGGATTTTAAAATTTTGAATAATGATGTGTAGAATATTCACACAATCGGTAATACTTTGTTTTCCCAAAAAATATATTATAATCATGTGGATGAGGTAATTCTAAAAATGAAACGAATCACAGAAAAAAAGATCCAAGAGCTGGGTCCTAGAGTGGCATCGTTTGGATTTTGGGTGAGCACCAGCCTTAGCCTCGTGGAACTTGATACAGATCCAGATATAAGGTTATCCTATCCTATCCAAAATCTAGGTACTTAATGTCATCAGACTTACCTCCCTAGAGGCATAGTCACTATACCATTTTTTCTGTGCCAAGTACCATTCCTGCACCTAAGCATTCAACTCCACTTTTAAAATCGTTTCTATCACTAGGAATAAAATTCTCGATGAATTTTTATGACAGAAAAAGCCCCGCCGCGAGACAGCAATGACAGTATGGTAAAACAGGAATGAACAAACTGAACATTACTCATTCCATTGGGGAATCAAAAACTCACCAATAAGTGCCAGAGATAACTGGACGCTTTTTCTCAATACTTATTTGGGTGTGCGTGTGCAACCGCACTTTTTAAACCAAACCCGCCGGTAAACGCCAAATAAACCGCGGGAAGAAACGAAAAAAAATTGAAGCAAACGCTGACGTACTATGATATGTACATTGTCAACGATTTATTTTTAGAAATTTGACTCAATTTTCAAGCAGCAACATAATGATATTATCCTCGGGATAAATACGTGTTTTAAACGACGCAATAAAATCAGTCGCAGTCTGTTTTTTTAGTAACGTTAAGACGCCAACTTATGTTAACGATGAAATTAAAAGAACAACTATTTTTTTTAAATCAGGAGCTTCTTTATATTGAATGGAACAACAGAAATGTTGAAATGATATTTTTCTGAATTTCTTTCTGCTCTAGAAAAATATAGCCAATGAAATTTTGTAGCAACTAAGTTGATTTGCTCTCCTTAAAAAAATAAAGGACTAACCTTTTTCTAACCAACCAATACTACCAGATACTTGATATTTAGTCTCACCGTTTAATTATGCAATGACAACTTATGCAGGATCATAATTGGACTGCATTTTGCAATTTGGACCTATAAATTCTGGCTCATCTGAAAAAAACACTTATGTGCATAGAGAAACTAATGGCACGTACGTTGTTTTTAAACCGGGCCGGAATTTATAGGTCCAAATTGCAAAATGCAGTCCAATTAGTTGACCCTCCACGAAATAACCCAAGTAAACATAGCCGTTTAAAAGCCTATTTCAATACCTCGGGATTTTTTTTTTTTTTTTTTTTTTTTTTTTTTTTTTTTTTTTTTACAAAAATGTGTTTTAAAAATCCTTTTCTTATAATTTTATTTTTATTTTTACGCAAAAAAGTCTTCATGAAGACTATCTTTCAAAGAGTTATTCAATGTATGTTCAAACACTTTGAGTATTAAACGACTATAATGAATCTCTGAAGAGTTCTTTTACCAATTTTTTTTTTAAATGTTGCCTTTTTTAAATTTTATTTGGAACTTCCGAAAATTCTATGTCATGTTAACAGCTTTTTGGGATAGTCTTTTAAAAAGTTACAAGTTTTTGTAAAATATTTAAAATTTGTTTTTATTTTTTTGGTAGCCGTTGCTACTACGAAAGGGTCCTTAATCCATGAAAGCAAACCCGTAAGGGCAGTATACAGCGGTTTTAGAACAGTTGAGTGGAAAAATCGGACACCATTTATATAAGCCCAAAAATTCCGATCGAATGGATATGACCAGAATTTGACCGATGCGACGATAAAATGATCTAGTGCTGCTCCCACCGCTGGAGAAAGAGTCTCTGGAGCTGCTCCCCTCCTCCGGGGCCTAAAGCCCCAAGTTCAAGGCCCCCTCCCCCGGTAAGGGCCGCGTACCTGTCCGCATCGCTTACCTCTGTCTGATTCATCCGGTGTCTCACTCCGGTCGCTTCTCCGCGGTGCGGGAAAAACACTTCGCGTCGTTTTTGTTTTTTTCTTCTTTCTTTTCCTCGCGGTTCTGTTTTTCTGGTGTTGGTGCGTGTGTCCAAACGTGGTGTTTCGATGGAAACGGGACATGGATGCCGATAATCGCGGGCCGATGAAATTCGAATGGATAATCGTCAAGTTTGAGCTTGGGTGAAACTTTTCGAGCGCTTCACGGTTCCACGTGTTGATTTTTTTCTCGTAATTTTTGAAAAAAGAAAAAAAAGAAAAATTGAAGTTCTAGTGTGTGAGGTGTTTGTGTGTTCGAGAATTTTTGCAGAAAGGATTATCGTGCGCTGAAATCATGAAGGCGGGATTATACTATTATATTTTGCTGGTAGGTGATTTAGATTACATTTTTCGTGTACGATGCTCGTATTGTGGGTGAAGCAGTTAAGTAATGCTTGCTATTTCAAGAAAAAGATGTCTGCACGAGGGAATTATTTTTTCCCTTTCTTTTTGAATGAACATTGAGCAATATTTCTAATTTCTTTTACCTCAATATTGAAGCTAAATGTTGGATTGGCCTTTAAAATATCATGAATGTTATTTTAACGTTAAATGCAACTTTTTCAAGATCACACTAATACCGCTTTTTCCTCATCCGTGATATCGATCATAAATACATATAATACTTCACTTTCACTTTCTTCTCTTTAATCTTAAATCAATTGTCAGTTTTCTTCGTTCAAAGGCTCCTCATTAGTTCAAAGATGTCTTATTCGTCATTCACAATGAGCAAATCTTCCCAATTTTACTGCAGTCTTAACAATTTGAGGTTAATTTTTACTTTTTAAAGTTTCGTTCAAAGGCAAGGCCTTGTATGTGTGTACCGAGTTTAGACAAATTTCAAATTAAAATATGATGGCTTTCGATTTTTGGTCATCCTCGGTAGATGCCTGGGTAAAATGCATTTATCATTCCCTCAATCTGGAACTTAAGTAGGATTGATCATATAATGTTCGATAAAATCAAACAAATTTGGTACTTTCGTATTTTCTGTGTCAAAGTCTGAAAAGCGCGGATCTGCGCAGAATATATGGTCGTGATTTTGCTCTATTGCGACTATAGCACAAATGTTAACCTCAAAAATCTCATCATGAATTGCACTCAAATCCCTGAACTCTAAAATGGGGCATATTTAATACATATTCTTTTGAATAACTCATTGTTCAAAATGAATTATTACTAATGATGGATAAAATCCTGTTTCATACGCTACACTGCGGAGCTTATTTTAAAATTTAAAGACTGGAAGGCTTAGCGTTACTTAAATCATACCCAAAAGGAAGAATTTACAATTTATAATACTAAATATATCACCAAATTTACAGAGTTATCTAATTATCATTCATGAAAAGAAAGAAAGAAAAAAAGAAAACACAGTTTGATAGAAAGTTGTCGATGAATGAGGATTGGGAAACCCACGCTTTTAGTCCACGTCTCCTCAAATACAGCGATGGGTTCTAATTTAGACCAGTTATAAACAACTTGATATTTTATTCATGAATTCCCCGCAGAGGTAACTTCTGCCGCATTTTAACACCTCAAGTTGGCCCACAATTTATGCGTGGGTGCCGGAATTCACCGTTAAACGTTGCAAATCTGCTGTCGGTGGATTTCAAAAATCATCTGCAGAAAAGCAATATGCGCCTTACACAACGCTGCGTCTGTCCACTGTAGAAAACTAAGTGTCAAGTTAGTTTAATTAGTAGTTCGAGCATAAACTTTTTACAACTTAGTTAGTTAGTTATTCAGTTAATTTATTAAAAGACATTCAGCATTAGTTCATCGAAGTTGCTCCGTTAGATGCATTTATGAAACAATGTGCGAATTATTTAAATCGGATGGAACCGGAAAGCACTCAAATTCTGTAAAATTAGTACCTTCCAGCAGAGAAACGTCCAGTACTTACGTTTACCATGCACAGTTAAAAAATTCTGATTGACCGTAATAACATCACCAATTAACTGTATAATATTCAGAAAATGATAAAAAGTAAAGAAATTAAAGAAAACATCAATGTGAAGTGTGGTGAATTCTGGCACTAAGTCTACTTGTTTTTTGACATAGTGATGCCGTAGGGTAAAGTTAACCAGACCTTTGGTAGTATTTATTGTGCTGTTGGTGCGTGCAATTTCATTTTCGTTATTTGCTACCATCGGGTCCATTGGTGATTACCATCAGTAAATTGCTCGAGCCATAATGAATGAATCTCGAAAAAAAATTTAAAGAGATTAGAATTGAGGGGCTTGGAGGACAGGACGCATAAGTGCAGTTTTTGAAAATATCAACGTATTAATGATTCCAGGAAAAACTAGCCTTAATACCAATTCTGTGAAAAATTCATTACAAAATTACAATTTTGAAGCATCTCAAAGTCAGCTCGAACTCTTTTTCCGCCATTAAGATCCATGTAATTTTGCGAGTTCAAACACGTATTTCTCCTAATAGCAAAAACTGCACTTTTGCGCATTGTTCTCAAAGCTCCTCAATTGTGTGAGTGATTTTTTTTCCCCCCACCACTCCCGTTTTTCAATAAACATAACCATCTCCATATTAGCTGCGCGCACAGAAGCGTCTAGAGAAAAGTCATCGGCAAGGAAGGTGCTCGATTTCAGCATTGACGCACCGGACAAAATGCATAAATGAGACTCTCTTACTTACAGAGGGTGGGTAAGTAAAGGATATGGGCTCGTTAATTTTTTTTTTTAAATTAACGAGTCCATAGTTTTTGTTTTCCCACCCTCCGTAAATAAGAAAAACTGGAATAAGTCTCATTTTTCTAATTTTTCCGGCGCGTCATTTCCTGTGTCTGAAATCGAGCACTTTCCTTGCCGACGACTTTTCTCTGGACGCCCCTGTGCGCACAGCTGAAATGGAGGCGGTTGCGTTTATTGAAAAACGGGAGAGTGGTGCGTGCGGCGGGCGTCGGACATGGACATCTAACCCATTTTCCGCCGCCACCGCCGCGCCGGAAGACGGAGTAACGGAATGGTTCATTATCCGGAAGAGCAAGCTCATCGGGCAAGATCCTTACTGGGCAGGGCAGACACGATGGTCTGCTGCGCACTCCGACACACCCACCTCCCTCGTCCCACCCGCGGTCAAATGGAGCGGGCCCGGAAAAACACTTTTTAATCTCCGAGAGGCCACTCGCCACTCGGAACTTTTTAAACCGGCATAGAGTAACTGAGATATTCTACGTGTCAGCAGCTTAGGCGGTCTGCACTGAAAAAAAACTCCGACCGTGGTCGCCCGGGTACGCCTGGAGCAATCGAAGCTACGGCTCCAGCACCCGGAACTTTCGGCCTCTTAGCTCAGAACGGACGGTATGTCTATGTAGCCCGTAAAATTTTTTCAGTGGTGCGGGTTGATCGTTGAAATTAATAGACAAAGCGATAAACGAAGAGGACAAATGAGTATGGTGCGATTCTATTGGTTATCTGGGTGGTTCTTATACTAAAAGAATGAGGGGATAAATAATGGACTATACTAAAGGTTCTCTAGTGAGTTCCCATTAGTTAGTCTATTACATATGGACGTATTTATGCTGAAAGGAACTATGCGGATAGGGTTTGTGTGCAACATAGTTCCTTTTAGCATAAATATATCCATATGTCATTTGTCCATCGCAACCACCCGCTTCCACCGATTGGATCCCTTAATATACTTCTTGTCTTCTTCGTCTACAGCTTTGTCTATCAATTTCAACAATCAGCCCGCTGGCATGCGCCACATAGAGCTGCCATGCTTTTTCAGAATGCCTCAGAAAGTTTAACGGAACAATCATGTGACGGGAGTGGGGAAGTCCCGGGGCACATTCTGCTGTGTTAGGGAAAAATGTCGTATGAGCCTTTAGACGTCGCCATCCTTTAATTAAAAACAAAACTGAAAAAAATTGAGAATATTTTCTACAAATTTTCCGGACAATTTTGTTTGAGATACAATCTAAAATGCCTGAAACTTTCAAGGAAAAATGAAAAAAAGTTTTCCTCAAAAATGCATGTTTTATCCGGGGAAATTTGACAACTCTCAAACGTTCATACACGGCGTTCTTCCTGAGCTTGGCAGTGAGAGCCTCTGGCATCCACAGGGTAAACACTTATTTAGGACTAAGACCATGTCTTTTAATTGGACAGCTTGTTTCAAAAAGTTCACAACTAAATAAAATGGACTCTGCGAGAATTTTTGAAGAATGAAAAATGTTTTTGGCGCTTTTCATTCAACTCTCAAAAGATGGAGATATGCGAAACTTGCCAGGGTTGTCCATAAATTATGTAACGCGATTTTACTGAAAAAAGAGAGGTGATTCTAACGGATAGGTAGTTCGCCTTAAATTTTTGGTGTAGGCAACACGGGCTCCCCCGTGGTCGAATAGTGGTATCATCTTGAAATGATACGTTGACTCGGAACACACCCAAATAATAGCTCATTTTTAAACGGGAGGAGGTGATTTCAACAGCATGGGTTTATTTTGAGCACACACAGATGTGGAGCAGTGCGTTCCGAAGAAAGTAAAACATATTCAAGTGTTAAATAAAAGGGGGAAAAACTGCATCAAAAAATAAAGAAAAGTTTAAATCCAGGATATACGTACTGTTACGTCACGCTGAGTTTGACACCCCCTCCACTCGCTCTGTCGGCTTGGTCACAAAATTATGAAGGATTCAACTACCCTCTAAAGCTTTCGTAATTTATGAACATCCCCTTCCAAGATCATTTTAATATTTTTAACGGGTATATATTGATGACAAAAAATCCCAATCCCAATTATCTTTTTCTTTTTCCTTTTTTTTTTTTGGCTGAAGTAACAACAACTTTACTTCGTATTTGAGAGCATATTATTTTTTCATAGCTTCTAATCTGTATTTTTTTCGAATGTGTGTCAGACTTATAAATATTGCTACATTTCTTACTTCATCAGACAATTTATTCCTAAATTCAGAGTGCTCAAAAACCAGCACCAAATCACAATTCAACACAAAAGGATGCATATTTCCAATTGTAATGAGTCACTGCAGTTGTTATTCCTAACCATCTTAAAATTAGAATATTGACCAGAGGGAACCTGATGATATCTCTGATGTACCGTATTCTGTCGCAACTTGCAATTTTCTCAGCGCTGTTTTCAGTGAATCTGATATTTCATAATCCACTTTACCACCCAATTTACCAGTCTATTGTTCAACGTTTTCCGTCAGCCCGTGAGAAACTCTTTGCAGTTCCTCTTGTTACAGTGAAGATGCTCTTCTTGCGATTTTAGAGCATGGAACGAAAATCCTAGTTTCCTATCTCAAGCTAAAACGGTCTGAAGTAGAGCATCCGATAAAAATC